ACGTAGACGTGCTCCATGCCATGCAGCAGCACCAACTTGTCACAAGCATCATCTATCGGCCACACAACTGCCACACCTAGCACGCAGTCGACAGGATACCAAGACGCGTCTGAGCATAGCACGACTTCTTTTAAGCCGACGGTTAAAGCCCGCTGCCTGAGATTCATGGAGCTCGTCGGGAATTTCTTGTCATCATCTCCCACAACAGAACACCACTGAGCTAGAAAAAACTCACCGGTGTGACCATCCTGAGCAAACTTCTCGCGTTCGTCTTGAGGCAGCTGAGCGTGCTGCCGAACGTCGACAATGCGGGAGAGGAAAGACTTACCCTTCGCCTTGCCCGTGTAGACGAACTCGCCTGTGAGCAACAAACACTTGAGCTCTGCACTGCGAACTACCTTGCCATACGGGCTCGTGCCCGGCACTGGGTTCATGCGCAGCGATGACAAAACGTGATTCCCGGTACAATTTCAGGGCTGCGCTCGGCCAAGATATGCCAGGACCGCTCGGATACGGTGCCAAGTTTCGTAAGGATTGAGGCTTGACTGACGTCATAGCGACGTTAGGAAGCTAGTAAACTATCCTAACTTTCTACACGTGGACATATATTACCTATCTTTTTTTTGATACGGAACGCAGTGGAGTAGATTTTTTCTGCCACAGTGCGCCCGCGGAGATTCGCATTAAACACTGCCCGGGGTCGTAATCTTGCTAACACTATGGAACCCGACGGCCAGCCCCTAATCCAACTATATCATTTTGATATCTTAATCATTCCTCAACATCAGCGTCCGGGCCACAGCAATCTCAGTTAATCGAGCCATGTCAAAACTCAGCAATCTCATATAATCGAGCTATGGACGATCCCTGGGGTGGGCCCTAACCAGGCTCATGATCACTTCAACTGCTCCATATGCAACAAAATAGTAGAATTTTGAGTTCATCTGTGTGGCGCTAGCAATGGCTTGCTACAGTTGGTTCGGCAACCCGCTGAATACCGGTTCTGGCATCAAATGTAATCAGGCGATTCAGACTTCACTGCGATGGCAGTGTGATCGCGATTATGCTTCCACGATTGCGTGCGACAAGTCGAATGTGAACGAACCTTTTGGTTACTTCTTTACTTCGACGACATTCCGCAAAGAGGCTCGAAAGAAAAGCAAAATTTTATTTTATGACTCTCTGACAGGAAGATTTTTATTCGAAGCACCGAATGGTCGCACCATGGGTGAGTTTTTGGATGAAAGTACAAGAACTGGGTGGTTAGTATTTTATGAGGAAGACGTCTTCCAAAAAAATGTACGTGTTGTGTCTGCTGGTGTTTACAAGGGATTGATTGTGTCCGTCGACGGCACGAAACTAGGTGTAATTCAACCGATCGGTAAACGATTGCGATATGTAGTGAATATCATGAGTATTGCTGGGAACTCTGTTGGAAATCACACTGGCATCGTTCGAAGAACCCCCGAAAGTTGGTGCTCTAATTTCCAGAGTGTGTACTTTGGAGGAGATTGTCCATTACTGATACAACAAGACTTCATCGGTGTTGAACAGTCTCCTCCTTTCTCACGCAGTATAGATTCCGTGACTGCGAGAGTTGGCTACGCCGCTGGATGGTCACTGCCAAAAGAAATGACCATATGTCATTATGGTGGACCAATGGGGAGCTACTACGTCGATCACGGCTTTACACAGGTGGTCGAAGTCCTTGTGGACATAAAAAGTGCTGCTGGCGGTGAGCAGTTTAGAGCTCTAATTGATGCTTACTTCGAGCACCTGGTACCGCGCGAGATGGCGGTGGGATCCAGGCGCAATACCATAGGAGTACCTGGAGGGATACATGGCTCTTACAAAGAGATCCTTTACTCAGCAAATACAACACGCACGCCTCTTCTTCCAGCTGCTGACGACTTGCTACTCCAGGGTGGTGGTGACTTGCGAGTCCTTCAAGACGGCGTTATCTACGTGTACAATTCAAATGAGTTTCCGTTTTTCATTGGCGAGCGATTCAGTCAGTGGCATGGAAACTCTACGCAGATTAGGGCGGAACCAGTATGCGGTGATCCAGGTGCTACCGGGGGCTCTAATCTTGGTGAATGTGGAGCCCTACCTCGTTTGGATACGCCCGTGGAAATACAGATCGATAATGCCAGCATCTATACTTTTTCACCATCCAATCTAAATGTATCTGCTGTGGATGACGTTCCTGAAGACATGACGTCGAGCGTATCCCATGAAGGGAACTCTAACTTCTCCCCTTTCTTGGCTTTGTTTGTGCTTGGGTTGGCGCTCTTGTTTGTGGGAATTACTCTCGCAGCCTACCGTCGCGTGCGCAAAAAGTTAATCTCGAGGTTTGAATTAAATGGCGCTTCAGCACTTTCTGATACGGCTGCGCACGTGACGGACCACCCCGACCACACTGAATTCGACACTATAAACTGCCATGTACCATGATCATTGCCTGAAGAAAGTCCCGAACGGAGGCATGAAGTGAACCCGGTCAAGGAGCATCTCTCCTGGGTCAGCATGATCAAACTTTTGAAGGATGATGAGAATTATGATGATGGTGAGGGCTTGGGGTTAGTGTTAGAGTTTAGGGTTCCTAAAACCGCCGTTCTCCCCCGACCACGCGGCGGGATATTAAAAATACCTATTCCGCGTATCCTCGTACAAAGGCAAAGCACCATGTCTGATAGACAGCGGTGCAGAAACTAGTGCAATGAAAAGTTCAGTTTTCATGACAGCATGTGCCCACGCGTCTATCGGAAAACCAGTTGCACAGTCGCCGGACAGTGCACCTGCTGGATAGTAGCCTGACTGACGTCATAGCGACGTTAGGAAGCTAGTAAACTATCCTAACTTTCTACACAAGTAGGCGACTAAGCCAACATATATCCACTGCACTGTGAACCTAAAGCTAAGTAGGGGAAGTATACCTTGATGGGCAATTCCCGCTACATCCTCATCGCTAACGCTGAGCAAAA